TGCTCCCAGAGTCCCTGAGGGTCCTCCAGAGCCTCGCCAGATCAAAGCTCTTGTCATAATAACAGTAAGCTGTTATTTGCCTTTCTCGCCCTCATCCCCTCACGAGTGTGCATCTGAGTTTTATAGAGGCTGCGTGACGGGTGACATCACGACTGACTGAATGCAGAAGCGGGTCTAAGCGCCTAGCTGTCTTCCAGATATTAAAGAGATTTGCAGAAATATGAAATAATCTCACTGTTTGTACTAAGTTTTTATTGCAAAATATAGTTATTTTTCCTAAAGATGCAATTTATGTTAACACAGGATGGGTTTATTATTGTTATTTTAAAATAAGCTGATACATATTTTTACATGTTCTTAGTTTTAATTTTGAATATGGTAAAAAATAGATAGCGCCTACAGATACAGAAGTTCTTTGGGGACCTCCGCAATTTTTAAGCGAGAAAAGGGGTCCAGAGTCCTAAAGGTCTGGGAAGCAGCGATCTGCAGTGTGTGCTGGGCAGTCGAGGTCCTCCGGCCTCTCTGTGAACACCTCACTCCAGGAACGGGGAGCTCATTACCTCACGAGGCAGCTCAGAGGGTGGCCGGAGGTGACGATGATGGAAGGCACCGAGGGGCGAGCTGGCGTGGGGGCAGCGCGCACGGAGGAGAGCACAGTGCCTGCGCACTGGCAGATCTCAAAGCACAGAGGGACGGCCGGGGTGCCAGGGCTCGGGGACCTGGCCTGTGACTGAGTCACCCGCCAACTCACCCGCAGAAAGGTGGGGAATCCCTGGCCGTAATACCCGACGGCGAAGTAGTCTGGCTTGGGCCGGAGGATTTTCATGATGTTTTCATAGAATTTCGCCTGCTGGATCTGAAAGAGGAAAACGCGCTGCTTGTAACAACACAGATGTGTATCAAAGGCACATTCGACTCAAAGGCCACACTTCAGACATGGTCATTATATCAGATCAACGTGCCAAGTGTACTTATTTGCACATTCATGAATATGTCAGTAATTGTAACAGTACGTTTGGCCCTCTGTATCTGTGGGTTATACGTCCATAGATTCAACCAATCACAGATCAAAATATTTGAAAAAATTTCCCAGGAAGTCCCCCAACAACAACAACAACAACAACAACAACAACAACAACAAAAATCCCGAATAAAAACCCCTGAATTTGCCACTTGCTGAGCGCTACGCTGAATCCGTGCACATGAAGTGACGTGTAGGATTACCCTGCTGTAGCCTATGTGCAAATAATAGGTTATGTGCAAATCCTATACCATTTATATAAAGAACTTGAGCATCTGCAGATTTTGTTACCTGTAAGGGGTCCTAGATCCAATCCCCCACTGATACCAAGGGACAACGGTAACAGTTATATTACCATACACCAGGTACCACGTGAATCACGCTACCTGTGCTGGCTCATTTGCTTGCGTCATCCTCATAACGGCCCCATGAATATCGTATCTCCATTTTGTAGATAGAGAAATGGTATCTCATAGCGCAGCCAGTAGGTCAGGCAGTGAACCTGGCTGGCTGCTGAGAGTCCCCATTGCGGGCACACTTCGTGCACAATAGGCATGTGTTCATGAGGGTCTATGGACGAGGCTAAGAGGTATGTGGTTTTCATATTTTAACATCCCTAGAAACAATTTGCATCTTACTTTACACCTGATGGCATCTTATAATTGGTGTTATTAGCCAGACAGGAATCATGACATGGCGCATTAAAAAGAACAGTGCACCTCACAAACACATGCATCTTAAATCTGATACAATACGGAAGATAAATGTGCATGGACCTGGGCATGAGCCTTTGTGATGTGGGCTTGGTGCCCAGATGTGATCAGAGTGTGCATGAACGTGTACGGCTTGGTGCCCAGATGTGATCAGAGTGTGCATGAATGTGTGCTGTGTGCATGAGTGTGTGTGTGTACATGAATGCACATGCTTGGTGCCCAGATGTGATCAGAGTGTGCATGAATGTGTGGTGTGTGTGTGTGTGTGTGTGTGTACATGAATGCACACGTTTATAAGGCACACGTGCCTCCACATCCACAAACACCTGTGTGGATACACTCGTGGGGCAGATATAGGTGTTCTTGGGGCAAGTACGTGTATGCTTGCATCATATCTTAGAACGCTATACTCCATAACCAACCCCCCACCACAAAAGCTGTAAATCCTCTCCCGACACACTGCCTCTCATTTCACAGTTCACTGGAAACAGCTGGACTGGCCTCTCAAAATGGGCTAAGATGGGGCTCTGGGGTCCTGGCTCAGGTCACCAGGAAATAGGCGGGGAGCAAAGGAAAAGTTCTGCATCTTCCCTGCAGAGGCCGCCTCTCCGCCAAGCCTTGGCCTTTGCAGCACAAGCTAGATAGGCTGGCTTCCCCTCCCTTTCTACTTCCTGCACCAAATCACAAGCATCCAGGAGCTAATGGGGGAACGGCCAGATGGGGAGCATTTTCATGTGATTTATCGGTTAATCAGAAAGCACAAATTTGCGTTTTTATTTAATTGGCTCAGTGATTTGTGGGGATTTTACTGCAAATGGAGCACAGCCTTGTCGACTGGGCTTGCAACAGCAGCAGCCGCCCCCGTGCCAGGTAGGTACTTAACACTCTGTCCCAGGAGCTGTCCTGACGAGTTGTCCCAGAATTCCCCACTTGGAAATATTCCCAACTAGGAGGGAGCCGCTCGGCACAGCCTCAGCCTCGCTGGGCTCGGGCTCTACGTCCATCCTTTACCTAGTTGAGTGCCCCACCCACCCCGCCTGGCCTGCCTCGCTGGCGAGTCAAGGCCTGAGCACCCGGCCTCCAGGACAGTCAGCCCCGCCGGGGACGCCTTACCAGGTTCTGGCTGAGCAGCTCGTAGTCAAAGATCTCCATCTCATACTGTTCTGCCAGCTCCTTGCACAGGCTGATGGCCTCCTCCCACATCTGCAAAAAGATCGTGGAGACAAAGGTCAGGGGGCACCCCCAGGCTTGCAGAGCCCTTGTCGGGAAGGGACCTGGTGACTGTGCCTCCTGGGGTTGAGCTGCCCGCCTGGCTCCGGCCCAGCCTCAGCCTCCCACGCTGGAGGCCGCGCTTCCCAACAGCACGACCCCCCTCCTCTGCCTCTCAGCCAAGTTTCTTCACAAATAATGCAGCGGCCACAGACTGGGCTAAACACTTACTTACAGGCTCTCGAGACCTTCGCAACCCCTCTGAGAGGTGACTAGCAGTATCTTTACTTCCCAGGTGAGATACGGAGGTTCACGGGCAGAGCAACTGCCCCAGCTCAGATGCCCACCCAAAAGCAGGGCCAGCCTGCCCCCCTGGGGTGACCTGCGGCCTTAGAAATGCTTAATAAGTGAGCCGCTGCCTCCCTTAGCCTCTCGTGTGCAGGTGGGGCAGGGAAGTGTTGGCCCCGTTTTCCACAGAGAAATGGTTCGCAGAGAAGCAAGCAGGTGGCCTGAGGTCGGAGAGCTCCTGGACATCAAGACAGGGCCGGATCCAGTTCCCTGATGCTCACGCCTGGGATCTTAGATTCTGCTAATCCCGACACCTTTTCCCACCCTGGCCGACTTTCTTTCCTCCCTCCTTCTCCCCCTTCTTTCTTCCCTTCCTCCCTCCCTCCTTCCCTACCTTCCTTTTGCTCTTTTCTTTTTTTTTAATTGTAGAAAGAACATTTAATAGAGATCTACCCTCTTCACAGAATCCTAAGTTCACAACACGCACTGTCAGTATAGGCCTGGTGTCCAACGGCAGGTCTCTAGAACTCCGTTATCTTGTGTAACTGAAACTCTATGCCCGTCCCTTCTTAATGGGGTTATTTGGGGTGTGTGAGCGGGCAGGGGGGCAGTGTAGAGGTAAAGGTGGGATTGGTATTAGAGTATTAAAAAGAGTGATTAAACCTTTTTTTAAAATAGGTCTTTTCCATTTTTAAAAACAATTCTGAAAAAACAAACCCTCGACATAGGGGATCCTTTCTGTCCTCCCTCTCTGAGGCCGAAACCCATAGATACCCTCCATCTCAGACCAAGGGGTTGGGGACCCCTGCGGAGAGGCAGGGGGAGCACAGGGTGGGCCGGAGAGCTGGCGGTCTCAAGGGATTCGCACTACATTTCACATTCGGTTTAAAATGGAAGATGCCTCTGAATGAAGAAGCTGGGCGATGAGGGGGAGGAGAGAGCGGAGGCTGAGAAAATGCAGCGTGCACTGTGGAGCGAGAGTGCCCCCCTGTACCCAAGCATAAAAATAAACAACAGAGCAGAGTGGAGGCGCCGCAGCTGTAAACCTGCAGACAGCCCAGAGATCGGTGCAAAATGCTTTCTGGGCCAGGAGGAACCACGTCCCTGGTGGTAACACCCCTGGGCTGGGCCAGGGGGATGCCTGGCTCAGGTGGAGGTCTTTGCCAACTTCCCACTGTAATATGCCAGAGACGCTCTCCCTGTGTGTTAAGAGACCACTAATGGACCAGGATGGGTACCAGGCAGGAAGTCAGGTACCTGAGATTTCCTTTCAGGTGTCCCTGTGGTCACTGGGACCTCTGATAGTCACTGATCTCTCTGAGTGTGATACATTGCAGCACCTGCTGAATTATGACATGGTATGGTGTACAGTGATGGAGAGATATAAAGATGGATAAGACGTAGTCTCTGCTTTCATGAAACATGGTGGGTGAAGCCTACTTAAAAATAGATGTAATAGTTGGGTTTTGAGGGATGTAGAGGAGTCTATCAGGTGATGACAGATGGATTTGTGGAGTAGAGAGCCACTGTGTGTGTCTGTAGCAATGAGTTTCTATGAGGAGAGATCTGGGGAAAAGAAGCTGAAGGCGTGCTAAGGAGTTTGAGCTTCATTCTAGAAGCTTCCACAGCAGTGGCTTTCAGAGTGAGCTGTACCCATCTTCTCCCTCCTCTCTACTCCCAAAGTACTTCATTACCATCCTGTTCCTGCCCCTCCCCGATTATTGCACAGCACCAAAGAATAACGTGCAAAGATTGTAACTGGCATGCCTTTTGCCAGCCGGGCGGTGAGGTCCCTGAACCTGCGGCTCGAGCCTTTTTCCTCTGTGCTCAGCACAAGGTGGGCTGAACTGGACACCGAGTAGAGGACAAAGCTCAGCATGCACTAGTAAGCTCTGGCTTGCTGTCCCATGGGGCAGGAGGTTCCAGGGATGACAGAGTCTCTGCCCTCAAGAGGCTTATAATTGTAAATTATGAGAAGTGTTCTCCAACTGCTCAACTCCTGGGAATTTATAAGTCCTTCCCAGACATTACCTCATTTCGTCTTTCCAGGGAAGGTGGGGAGATCAGACTAAGACAGATGCGAGATCAGACTAAGACAGGACAGACCGAAATGAACTGTGAGAGGCCTTGCGAGCCCCGGGGAAAGCTCGTAGGTAAGCTGGAGGACTCGAGGAGGCTCGAAGGAGGAAGTGGCCCATCGACCTGGGCCCTGAGGACAGTCAGGTGATAATGGTGAGAGTTAAAGTTTAATAAGATATTATTGCGAAGCAGGTCCTATGCTAGATGCTCTACGTGCATTTTCTCACCTAGTTTTCACACTATTAGATGCAGGTACCATTAGCATCTTACCATCATGGGTAGGGAATTGGAGTTTCTGAGAAGTCAGGGGAACTGTGGGCGGTAGAGGAGCAAGATCTGAAGCCCAGGCCATCTGGCTTCAGAGCCTGAGCACTTAGCCACCACGCCACGCCTCCTACAGGACGAGTGCCAGCACTTGGGCTAGTGCTTGGAGGGTGGGCAGCAGGTGGTCTGACTAGTCTCCTGACCAAACTCAACCGAGCATTCTATCCTTGCTGTTTAGAGATCCATGATGGTACCACAATGTCATTCGTACGTTCAATTCAATCATTTTTTCAACATGTATTCAATGGGCCCCGTATGTCAGGCTACTGAGCGTTCAGCAGTGGGCAGGTCTCCGCACTCATGGCATTCTAAAGTGAGGAGCCAGACAACGAACAAGTAAAAAAATGAACGAGGTGATGTATGATGGTGACGAGTGCACTGAAGAGGCAATATGGGTGACTCAGGGCAGGGGTGTTGCTTTGTCTAGGGTCAGGGAAGGCCTTTTTCAAGACGTGACATACGAGGAAAGCCTTGAGCTGTGATAAGGAGCCAGCACGGGATACTATGGAGGAGGAATGTCCCAAGCTGGGAAAGTAAATGCGAAGGCCTGGAAGGGAAAAGAGCTTGGCGTCGAGTGCGTGAGAAAGAGGGAGGCTGGCAGGGACGAAACGAGAGAGGCGGTCAGAGGTCGCTCGTGGGGGGCCGAAGGCGTCATGGGGAGGATCGTGTAATTTGTTCTAAGCGAAGGGGTCATGGGGAGGATCGTGTAACTTGTTCTAAGCGAAGGGGTCATGGGGAGGATCGTGTAATTTGTTCTAAGCGAAATGGGGGAACCATGAAGGTGACTGTAAGCAGGAGAACGGTGTGACCCAACACATGTTTTACGATCACTCTGTTTTCTACATGGAGGAAGAGCCGTTGGGAGACATAGAGGAAGCAGGGAAACAGCTTAGAACTCATTGAGTGTCCAGGTGTGCAATTCTGGTGCCTCGAATGGAGGTGATAGGAAGGGAGATGGAGAAGTGATCAGACCCAGAATCTGCAGATGGATTGGTGCAGCGTGTGGGAGAGAACTGCCCTTCCCACAGGGTCCCTACGGAGAGGAAAGGCAGGGACCGATTACCTTTCCTTTGTCAAAGTAGCCTATGATGATATCATAGAGCGTCTCCTTCAGCTGCCGGTGGGTCTGAGGGTGCTGCTGGCCCGTCTGCATGACCTGCGACGCACACTGCTCATCTGACCACTGTGGAGAGGAGACACACAGAGTCACCAGGGGCTGAGAAGCCACTGAGGGCAGGTGTCTCCCCACTGATGAGGCGTGGGAGGAAGCCCTGTAAACACGCCTGCTGCCTCCCAGCTACCCAGGGTGTCAGCTGTCAGTCAGGCAGATACTGTCTGCAGTCTCCACTTGGGCAGTGTCTCCTGATTTTTTCTGAGTTGCGCTTGACACTCTATTGGCTCATATATGTGGTTTGTAGGGATTTTCTCCGAACCCCTAGGAGACACGATCCCAGTCTTTAAAAGCCAAAGGAAATCCCTCAGACTTTGTCCACCTGCAACGGCGCTTTCAAGAGCAAGAAAACAGCTCACTGGGCATGCTAAGAATTTACAGTCGATGGTGTTTGGATGTTATGTAAAACAGTCTGGATGTTATATAAAACTGCAAGACATATCTCAAGGGGCTATTGTTGCTGCTAGATGTTAAGGTCACGCAAGACTTTATGTGACCAAGCGAACAGTACAGAAAAGTAATTCCTACCAGGCCAAGATTTTTAGGACACAGAGCGAAACAAATTTATTTAGCTAATACTTCTTTTCTTTTCTTTTTCCTTTTTTTTTTTTTTTTTTAGCTCTTCTACTTGCTTTGAGGGCCCTGAGGGCACAAAGCTACTTCACTGGAAAAACAGTACCTTGAGAAGCCAGGTGTGGAGAAGGAGTGTGTAGGCGGCCTCCGTGTAATTGTCACAATCCAGGTGAAGATCGCGGAGTTTATACAGGTACCTGTTTGGGGAAACATGCTGAATTATTGGGTACAGTGATAAGGGCACAGGGCCAGGCAGAAGCCAGACAGAACCAACTGGACACTCTGGGAGTCACAAAGGAGTCCTCCACCCCTGCTAACCAGCTCCCCTGCACAGGTCACAGTGACATTTAGCATTTGTGGGGCACTTAGTGCGTGACAGGTACCACACTAAGTACTGTAAATGCCTCAGATCATTTAATCCTCATGACACTCTTGCAAAATGGGTCCACTGAGGACTCCCATTTTCAGATGAGAAAACTATGGCCTGGAAAAGTCATGGACCCCTCTAGCCAGAAGTATTCGACTTTATACTGAAGATTCTGGCCACTGCAATATGACGAGTAAGGAAAATCCGGAAGAACTAAACAGCTTGTCAGAAGCCGTGTGCTAATAAATGGAAAAGCTGGAACATGATCCCAGGCTAATTGCCTTTAGAGCCCATGCTCTAATCATTTTAGTATTCCAGGCGCATGAACAAGCCACGGCACTGTGTTTTCTGGGGACAAAGGAAGTACATTTTTTCTGGTAAAAGAAAAATGGGAATAGAGGCTAGACAATCGCGCCGAGGCCTGGAGCTATCAGCAGGGAGAATCTACTATTCAACCATAATCACATTCCCACCTCCTGTCCCTTTGCAATATGACATTCCAATTCTGATCCTTAGGATGACTCACGGTTGAGGGGTGTTGAGGAGAAGGGTGCTCTGGTCAATTCTTAGATATTTGATACACGATAAGCATTAAAGGGCTGTGAATTAACTTCTTTGTTAATAATTTTGCGCATCTGTAAAATGGCAATGTCCACAAAACCTACCTATGAATTTGCTGGGAATATAACAGACCGTGTATGTTTATTACTGCTAATATATGTGAATTTGCACTGAAAGTGATTAGCCTGTGGCAGCACTGAACATGACAGCTATTAACTACTATCATTGTGAACTTGGTTCTTTTATGAAACGTTTCCTCCTGCCGCTGTTGGAAACAGAATTCAGAGCCGAAGAAGCACTGCTTCGGGGACTTGCATGTGATCAGGAGCATTTATTTAAACCCAACTCTTAGTACTTTGGTGAAGAGAAGATGCTATCATGCAATGCCCTTGGTCTCTTCCTCTGCGAGGCAGGCGCTGTCCGTAATCATGCCAAGATTCTGTCCTGACTGCATAACTACAGGGAACAAAGGGCTTCTCAGGCATCTGCACTCAAAGCAGGTCTCGATGCTCATGAGGGCTTGGGTTCCTGTTGGAAGAAAGCTTTCTGCACAGAATGTTGCCAAAGGAGGAGCTAACGTTTCATGTCCCTGGCCACATAAAACATGGCCAGTGAGCCAAGTGTAGGCTGCCCGACCTCAGAGTAGGGACTGCCAAAGATTTAAGGGGAAAGAAGTTCAACTCGTGATTTTCGATAACTAAAGAGCCAGGACACCCTGGTGACTTTTGCTCATTTTTTTTTCAATCAGCAAAATCGTACTGAGAACACAGGTTGTACCAGGCACTAGAGATATGTGGCGGCAAAAGCAGACACGGTTCTCAGATTTGGAATTTATAGTCTAGGGAAAGGGGACAGATGCCAATCAAATAATCAAATAAGTAATTGCAAAAATACAACTGTGATCGATGCTGTAAAGGAGAGGTCTATGACAGCAGGATTTGTCCAGGTGGGGCTTCCAGAAAAGTTCCCATAGTGTGACAGCTGGGCTGGGATCTGACACTAAGAGGATGAGCGGAGAGCCTCTCAGATAGAAAGATTCTTCATTTGTTCATTCAATGAATGGGTGCTTTATATATTATAGCAAATCATCTTCCCAATGATCCTTTCAGAGATAAGAAAGCTGTGTTACGGGTAAGAGAGCTATGTTAAAGTAGACAGCTAGAAATAGGTAAAACCGGATTTTGAAACCAGCTATTTCTGCCTCTATGATCGTGGCCTTTCCACTCTCTTCCTCCCTTGACACTCTGCTGGTCTAGCAGAGTTATCAGTGAAATTGCATGTGGCCTGCACGTAGGGAGTGTTGAGCCTGTGGTCCACCTTCAGAAACCCCTACGTACATGGCTAAATCCTGCCTTATCTCGCCTGCCTGTCCTGGTCTCTTAGACCCCCGATGACGGGGTCCAAACACCTGGGAGGGAGGAGTCAGAGGGAGCCTCCCTGCTATTTTCAGCTTAATTGGCCAAGGCGCCCTCTCTTCTCCTTTGTCGACTCAAGATTTTGCGATCGACTACAGAGCCCAAAGGAAGACGCCCCAATAGGCCCGACCTGGGATTCGAACTGAAATACCTACAGATGCCGGATGGGCAGCTTGAGAGAGATGCATCATTGAAGTTCAATGGGGGACAGAGAGGATGCTGTGACTAGAGTGCTCCTGCTCCATGTAAAGGGCCTGCCACCGCCCCCATCTAGCTAGGTGACAGCTGTTAGGACAGGATGAGGGCCCAGTGATGCCACACCTTCTGAGTTTCTCAGGAGAGAGAAATTTCAATTTTTATGGTAAAATGTCTAAATTTTTAAAATTTGGCAATCAATTAAAAAATATTTTTTAAATGCTATGCCTGCCAAACAGAGCAGATTTTCAGACTACATCCTGTTTACAATGTCTGGTTTAGGCAAATGTGGTTTTCCTAGATTACTACAGGACTCAGATCTCCGAAGCTTATGGAGATCTGGGATTCGCCATCTGTGTTTCTAAAATGGGAAGGAGAGGAGAGAGGCTGGAGAGAGGGAACCATGTGCTAGGCACTTTAGCTGCAGCATCTCATGTGATCCTCCGAGGGTAGAATGAAAACACCCTACACGGGGAACTTTGGCCCAGGGAGACTGAATGGTTTATCTAGGGTCGCGGAAAAACAGGGCGAAGACTCCTGGCCCTTCTAACCCCAGAACTTTGTACTATTGCAATGAGTTGTGTCTAGTGCTGTCCTAAGTACTCTCCAACCTCAGGACGACCTATGGCATTATCTTTTTTCCTATTTCTGGAATAAAACTAAACTAAGCACGTAAGCACATGTGCCGTAACAGTGGAGTTCAGACTTGGAGTCTCTGGCCTTTGTCAGGATGTCTCAGAAGCCTTGAAGTTTCATGAACCTCATGGTCAACTCCACCTGCGGGTTCTTGCCCCATAAAGCTACAAGGAAAGATATATATATATCCAAGAATTTGGTCATTGTGTTATTTATGATAGGAAAAGTTGGAAACAACCTAAATGTAGGATTGGTTATATAAATTGTGGTATATTCTAGAAAGAGAATTTTATAGTTTCATTAAAAATGATGTTGAAATACACCTGTTGACATGGAATTCTTGTCAAGCAAAGAATAAATTATGAGCACTGTGGTCTCATTTTTGCAAAAACATGCTTGCACAGAATTCAATCTATATATAAATATAAAAGGGTTGGAAATATGTATATATTATGAGAGTTTCTTTCATTTTTTGTTTTGCTTGTCTGTATTTTATGAGTTTTTGTTTTGGTAATTAATATGTATCATTTTTGTAATAAGTAAAAATAACAATAATTTTTTTTTTTAACTTTGGAGAAAAAAATATGAGATTCTGAGAAAAACTGGTCAGGGAGTTCTCTGCTCCAGGCTAATGTCCCCAGAGAAATCCTTCATGATATGTTCGAAGAAGTATCTTCTAAATGCCTATAAGAAAGTGGCATTAAGCATTTGGTATTTCTTTCTCTTTGAATCTGGGCTGGCCAATGATCCGACTACATGCTTTATAAACCCTGGACTAAGGCTTCACATGCCAGCTTCGCGACAAATGCAAGTACAATTCACCAGCTCCACTCACAAGGTGGGTTAAGGAGAGTGTGATCCGTGGATACTGCAAAACAGTATGGCAGGTCAGAGAACTCCAAGTGAATTCTGGGGGCTGATTAAGGGAAAATGGAAGGAGTTAAGTCTGGGGAGATGGACAGGAACCAGAACACAGAGGGCCTGAATGCTAAGAAGGTGAGTTTAAATTCTATCCTGAAGACGGTGGGGAGCCATCGATGGATTTTGAGCAGGAGAGTGACACAGCAGGTCTGGGTTTCAGAAAACAAACATCTTACCTGATGTACATCTCTTCCCGATTGTTATCTTTGTAGAAATTCTAGGTAGGGGAGGAAAACAGTGATGAGAGTTTTTCTTTGCAGAGCGGCAGGGGTGGAGGGTGTAGCGGTAGAGATGAGCGGAAGACGGCTATTTACTCTCTGGGCGCCCGGAGATGGGAGCACAAAATTTACTTTCCTGAATGCATCCAACGGCCTCGATAGAAGATTCTGCCTCGCAAGTCACTTCCCCGAGCCTCAGACTATGCAAGGGACAGAGGAAGCATCTCCGCCATCACATAGCAGGGGGTGCAGCTGAGCTACTACTGGCTGCGCTGAGAGGTGAGCTGCCAAGACCGAGGCACTCTACTTGGACTGAGTCAGGGCAGCCCAGCTTGATCTTTAACAGCTCAGACCCTGTGCTGAGTCAGCCCTGAGTTGGAATCAGAGTAACAGCAATAATCAGAGTAAGAGTAATAGTAATCATAGTAGATCCCAGTGATGATAACAGATCATAACTCCTAGAACTATCAGGAGTTACGATGAGATTCCATAGCCAAAAACGTTTAAACTTGGCAACACCGAGGAAGCCCAGTTCCTATTCCAGCCCGGGGGTCATTTAGACCGGTAATTGTCCTGAGCTCCGCCACCAGAGATCCTGACCCCACACACTTTTAAAGAAGTCCTTACAGAGTCTGAGCCAGGAGGCCATGAACTGATCCACGAGTCAGACTAGGAGAGAGCCCTGGTTTAATCCAACGCACCCACGTGCACTTGGAGCTGAGAGGGGAGGTGACGTGTCCCACATGCCCCAGAGCGGTCAGTAGGTAGCACAGCCATGCTGGACCTCAGCTCTCCTGATCCCCCACCCCCACCCCCATCACCACCATCCACCATCCTGTCCTCTTCCTTAACACTATATAGACACCAAAAACTGGCAGGGTCTAATTGCTTCTAGAACTGCCTGTCCTAAGCTTTCTCCCTGGTCAGTCTGACTGTTGAAGGTCAATTTCTTCAACCAGCTTCTGCCTCCTCATAGAGAGAAACTGCTAAACTCCTGGAAAACCCCTCTTCGTGCTCTGTATGTAAATTGGGCCTGGTGGAGTTACTAGCAATGAATTCCTTTCTGCTGTAATCAGGATTTTTAAACTCTGCTTAGCATTTTGGAAAATCAATGGCAATATCCACACTGTTAAGGAAACAGAGGCCACACTACAGAACTATGGGGACCGGATTTGTACACTATTTCTGTAACACTGGGAATGGCAGGGGGTTTATTGTGATGGACGCCACGTGGCCTTTGGCCAGCCTTATTTATTTAAACCACTTTAGAGTGGGCAGACATGGTGGATGTGAAGCGCTGAGGCTGCTGCTACTTGGCTTGTGACCGTGTCTCAGGACACATGAAAGGAGACTGCCCACGGCAGGTCCTGTGCTACCGGGGTTGAGAGCCGGGGCTGGGATTAGCTTCCCTAGTTAGCTTGTCCCACAGCAATTTTCTATAAATTCTAATTACGAGTATTCCTTCATTCTGCAAGAGACAGAAACTAACACGCAGTGAGCATTTAATCGTGGGCTGGGGCTGCATAGCCTGTGAAACAGGTACTGTTATTCCCTCCAGATAAGCAAACTAAACCTGTAGAAAACTTCCCTGACTTGTCTATTCTATTAATTAACGGAGGTAGGATGAGAGTCCACGGGCCGTGTGATTCCAAAGCTCATACGCTGAATCACGTTCTAGTGCAGCCTGTAAAGTGCTAAAGGGAATATATTCATACCCATTTCATATGTAAGGAACCTGAGGCACGGAAAGGTGAAGTGACGCCTTAGGACGCAGAGCTGGCAGATGGCAGAGTAGGGCTTCACTCCTATGTCTGTCTGATTTCCAGAGCCCTTAGCGCTGCTTCCCCGCCCGGAGCAACAGTGGACCCCAAAGCCAGGCCTGCCCCCGGGACTCGGTCTGAATGGGCTGTGGGGAGGGCTGGCCAGGCCACGCACCAGCAGGTTCACAGTGCAGCTCATGCGGTTGTCTTTGCTCTCGTCCGTCATCACCGCCCGGTAGTCCAGCAGCTTCTCCAGCAGGCCTCTAACCAGGCTCACGAAGTTCTCCACAGATTGGGAGATGGCTGGGTGCTCGGCAGCACACGCCACCAGGCTGTGGGCACAGAATGGACGGCGGGCAGTGAGCTCAAGGCCAGGGGAGAAAGAGCATGCTGGGGGGTGGGGGTTGGGGTGGGGGGTGTGCAGTAGAGTGGGTGGAGCATAAGCCAGGTAAGCCAGAGAATCCGCGATCCCCTGGTTCGCTGGCTCATTTTGTTCACTTACGCAATCATTTATTCACCTGTAGATTTACCTGCCCGTACAGCAGTTCAATGGACTGCAGTTCAATTGACCCATGCAACTCTAACCTACATTATTTGGGGATCAACTGTGATTTTCCCCCCGCCATCAAAATGGGAAAAAGTGAAAATAGAAATACATTTCCAGCGTGGGCCATGGTGGAAAATGGTCACTGTTACACACCTACCTTGGGAGTAAATCGGAACAACTTTTTGGGGCAGCAATTTTCATATTCTCAGAATTGCAAATGTACATATCCTTTGACCCAACAATTCTACTTCAGGGAATCTATGCTACAGAAATTTTCCCAGAAATATTCAAAGATATGTTTATAATACCGATAAATTATATCTAATAGTGAAATAGTTGGAACCATCTTAAATTTCCATCAATAGGCAAATGGTTAAATAAAGCACATTCACAAAATGTAATTCTATGAAGCCATTAAAAAAAGTATGAGAGATCGATATGTTTTGACATAAAAAGCTGTACAAAATAGATAACTGAGAAAAGTCAGTCTCAGAATAATATTTGTTTTTAACCAATTCACATGGAGCCCACCACATCGCAGGCATTGCTCTAAACATCTTAAAAATTTTAACTCAGTTAATCTCCCATCACAGTCTGAAGAGATGAGATGTTTGCAGATGGGGAAACTAAGGTACAGAGAGGTCAATTAACTTGTCCAAGATCACACAGTTGGCAAATGTCGACAGTCTGGCCCCAGCATCTGTGATCTCAACCACCGAATGCTACAAGAAAGTTAAAGTGCATGTCTGTGTCATGCGTCCGTGTGTTTATAAACGTGTGTGATACGGTCGGGAACGATAAACACCAAACTCTCAGCGGTGGTCGCTTCTGAAAAGGGGTCTAGGTTGGAAAACAGAGGAAGGCGATGCTCGCATTTCGATTTAAATGTGCATCTATTATTTGAAAATATTACTTTGTTGTAATATTGATATTCTAAATTTTAAAAACAAAAATGAGAGACGTGGGATTCCGTAAGCACCTCTTTGTTGCTAGGCACTGTGCCAGGTGTTGTGTGGGGTGTGGATGGGGAGAAAGACATAAAATAGAAAAAGAAATACCAGAAAGAATCGTGCCTACCCTCAGACAGCCCACAGGCTAGGTGAGGCAAGACAGATGGATTAAAATTTTTATTAATGACTACTTATTAGTCACTTATTCTGCACCGGATCCTATACTAATCACTTTTTCTTAAGAAATCATCACAGTAATTCTGATGAGTAAAAAACATTCCCGTCATTTTATAGTGGAGGAGATCAAGGCTCAGAGATGTTAAATGACCTTCCCAACCTCACTCCAGTAGTAAGTGGTGACCTTGAGAATCAAGACAATCACGTCCAATAGTTTCCCACAGAGAAATGTTGCAGTCTGTTCTCAGGCATCTCGAGTAGACAAGCATCAGCCAGGCTATTTGTTTCTGGTGACTCTGCCCCTGGCAGTTTAAGTCCCACAAGCTCTCAGGGGAAGAAAGGTGAGAAAGGCAAGGATTTTAGAGGGTCATTTCCTCCCAGAAGCCAAACCAAGCTGCAAGGAGGCGACCGTCTCAAACTGTGGCTGTGATCAGACGAATCCATCTTCACCGTGGGGGAAGCACCTGCTTCCCGGCTCTCAAAGAGAGATGCAAATTGCCCTGTGATTTAGGCCTGTCTGGTTCAGTCACAGCTGTGCCTGACTCCTTCTGGGATGGCCACGTCTAGCCCTGCTTCCCACCCTAATGACAATGCAATCCCAGTGTTTGGGGTGTGGTTTCTCACAGCCTCCCAGGGCTCATGGCATCTCAGGGCCCGAGTGGGGTCAGATCAGTGGTCCTCTGCCCTGGCCACATGTAAGAATCACCAGGGGGTTTTCACAAAGATCAGTACCCACCCTCGGTCCATGACTTTGTATCTTTGGGAGTGGGAGCCAAGCAGCAGTATTTACTTTTTAAGTTCTCCAGGTGCCTCTGATGTGCAGCCAACATTAGGAATCATTGGCTTAGTCCTCTACTTTGCATGTGGGAATACCTGGGCGTTGTGTTAACTGATTCTGATTCAGCAGGTCTAGTTAGGGCTTGAGATTCTGGTGATGCTATCGCTGTTGGTCCTTTGAGAAGCAAGGGTTTAGAAGAACAAAGTCTTGGCTTTCTTAGTTTCTCTATCTTAAGGCAAGAGGTAAGAAAGCTGCTCATATGGCCTAGGATTATGGGATGAATGGGCAGATTGGTTTGAAATCATCCATCCATCCACTAAGCATGTACTGTTCTAGAAACTAGGGGTTCACGGACCCCCAGGGGATCACAGTCTAGCAAGGGAAGCAGATACAGAAATAAAAACTTACCAAAATATATAATGGGGCCACAATTTATGGAGTACTACTACTACCTACGTTCCAGAGACTGTGCTGGACTATCTTGTTTAATACTCACAAAATCTCCTTGACTTAAGTATTATTAAAACCTTCGGTTTATAAATGAGGCCTGAGGATCATGGGGCTGGGCTCTAATCTTGGTCCTGTCAAGGTCAAACAGTTGTTCCTCTCCTTCGAGTCCTACAACTGAGTCTAAGTGGCAATTTAAAGGGCTGTGGGAACGTTCAGGAGATGCGGAGAACTCCTCAGTGCTGGAAGCAGAGGCCCTGCTCCTGCCTTGGGGGCTGGAGGGAGCTCACGCCTCGAACGGACTTGCATTTAGCATGGAGGCCTTCAGGAGGCGCCGCCCAGCTCCACATTCTCCATCGGTGCTGGCAGAACTAGACTTTATTCCTTTAAAAACTATGTACTAAGCGCCTCTTAGGACAGGTGTTCTTTCAGGTACTAAACTTGTTGGGTGGGATCCAGGCCCCAGAACACCCATTCTCTGTCCCCTTTAGCCTTCCAGGCCCCTCGCTGCTTCTAGAAATATTTTCAAGCAGATGGAATACAGGAGGGTGGAGTGTGTCTGACTACTCCATTCACTGTGGGACCCTCACTTTAAGACAGATATGGAAGGGCTGGGGGAACTAAGGATGACCAGCCCAGAGGAGAAAAGACAGGTAGGCTCATGGCTTCAAATGATCACATCACTATCCGCCCGGAGATTAAGAACAATAGCTAATATTTCTGGACTGCCTATGAGGTGTCAGAAGCTGCACTAAGCATTTTACATGACTTTTTTTCGTTACTCTCAAGAAAAACTGTAAGAGCTAGATGGCATTTTTATCCCTAATTTGCAGATAAAGAAACTGAGGCTCAGAAAGTTTGAAGGAAGGGAGACTTGGCCAACGGACGTTCTGATGGGGTTCTGACTCCTTGGGTTGGGCTCGATTAGTTTTGTAAAAATCACTGACACCTCTACCTCAGGAGAAAAATAATGAGCTGTTTTTCATTTCCTCGACCTCTAAGTGTTCCTCTGATAAATAATCACTCAGGAAGGATTTGAAAATCCTGCTGATCATCCAAAGACTGCCACAGAACCCCATCCGCTTATGAAAATGGAAATTGCCAGCAATATACATGGTTTTACTTCTGGTCAATATTTAGATTTTCCTTTTTAAAACTTCAAGATAAACATTGACTCGGGCAAAATGTCACTTTTTCCCCTGGACAATCAGCCTCAGTACCCACCCGAGCGGAGGGTAGGTTTCTCCTGGAGGAGCGGCATTTGCATTCCAGGTGTTTAGTGAAGGCTGTGCACAGTGACCACATGGGCCAAGAGACCGGCTGGGGAGGTGCTGCCTGGGACCCCACTCTGCCCGCTGGGCGGAGCCGGGCGAGGGTCACAGCGAGGGTTAGAGCAAGGCCTTTAGTCTGTCTTGTTGTTAAAGTTAAAATATTCAAAGAATATTAGGGGAAAAAAAATCAGAGTTATATCAGAGACTTATACAAATCGAAGAATCTATAGTTAGGAGGAAATTTGGGATGTCAGAGCCACATTCCTAAACCTGGGGAGAAGTCCTGGGGATTGGGGGGAGGTGGCAATTACCACGGTGTCAGAGAGGGAAACAGAGGCAGGGATCAAAGTCCGTTTAGTGAGCTTTTATCTGCTGTGAGCCAGATGCTTTATAGTTATTCAGTCATCAAAATAACCACAGGAGGCTTATTATCCCCATTTTACAGATGGGGATAATAAGCCAAAGACGTTGCATGATTGGCCCAAAGTCTACAGCTAAGTGGGAAAACCAGAATAGAGACTTCCTGAGCCTCAAGGGCCACCTCTGTGAAATGGGGACCAAAGAGTAAACTCGACGAAAGGAGATGATACAGAAAGAGACCTGAGCACGGCATCCACGCACTGCCTGTGCTCCACACACGCCACTCATGGCCAGTAGCATCCGTGATCTCCGGGGAAGGACAGAGCCACCAGCCCCCTGGAGTCCCAAGTCCTCCAGCCTCAGGCCAACCTTCCCCGCTCCTGCCGTGCTGGGCACTGAACTTACATGGACTCCAGCAGCTGCATGTACTGCTCATCCCCTCGGCCACCTTCCACCTCGTGGTCCAGCTTGAGGATGATTTCGTTTTCAAACTGAAGAAGTCAGATATGAAAATCAACAATAACATTAGATGGCTGAATGTCGGGATTAGTCAGTTCATTATTCTAACCAAAAATTTAGGGAGCACCCATCACCTCCCAGGTTAGTGCTGGGAACTGGGAATATGAAAAGAAAGATGGGCATAAGGGAGAGAAAGAGCGGAGGGGAGAGAGAGACCTCCCAGGTTAGTGCTGGGAACTGGGAATATGAAACGGAACAGGATGCTGTGTCTGCCTTTTGGGAATTCCCAGAGAGTACAGATGAATAGTAGATGATAAATGCTGTAGAAGAAAGATGGGCATAAGGGAGAGAAAGAGGGGAGGGGAGAGAGAGAGCGGGGGAGTGGGGGGAGAGAGAGAGAGAGAGAGAGAGAGAGAGAGAGAGAGAGAGAGAGAGAGAAAGGGGGAATCAGGGAAGGCTCACAGCCCATGTCATTCGAGCTTGTAGAAATGTTGCAGGAAAATGAAAAGGGACAGGGCGTTCCACGCAGAAGACACAGCACGTGCAAAGGCACGGAGGTATGTAACAGAGCGTTGCATCCTCGGGGAAGAGCATGTCGTTGCGGACAGCTATCATTTCTGCCATCCTAGTCTTCCTTTCTCCACACTTTGGCAGTCACATCAGCCCTAATCTCAGTCTGTGGGACTTAGGTGGGCTGACCGTACCTCCCTAGCTCCAGGTGTGGGTACATGGCGCACGCTTAGCTCCTAATCACTATCGTTCACCATCCAGATCGTAGGATTAATAAAGGCCCAGACAAAGCCGGTGACTCAAATCTGAGGCTTTGTTGGGACTCTTAGCAAAGTCTTTCCATTCTACTTAAAGGTTGCAAGTCTGAGGCTGCTGGAGACGACCACAGTGACAGAGCCTGACTGAGAATGCCATCGACACAGAGGAAAGCAGAGAGGAGATGGAAAGAGACGGAAATCCGATGTCACTTTTGAGCTCCAGAATCCAGCCCTACCTGAAGCTGTCCTAGTTAACACGAGCTGATGCCTCAGAGAGTCAAGACTGTTGACAAATGGAGTGATCAGAGATCAGACAAGCTAAGTGACCCGAGAGTAAGTCTACACCCACAGTTCTAACAAATCTTGTAACACTGAATTCAGAGTGTTCCGTCTCCTGGCTCTCAATGTCGAGAAGCATTTCACTCAGTTGAGTTCATGGCTTATTCAATATTTTGAAGGTCCATATGGTGTCTCTTTTACATGACTGTAATGAAAAATGGTTCGTCTCGTTTTAATATTATACCCTGATGAGTCCATCCGGATCATGAAGTCCACTCATTTCCCATGTTACCACCAAATAAGAACCTGGCACCTGAAGAAGGGAAGGGGGCCCTTGGCAACGGTCACCAAGGTCAAGGGAGCCCTGGGGTACTCCCGGCTCCTAACTCAGCCTCTTTACCCTCAGTCCTCATAATAACTCCGTGAGGTCTGGAGGTCGAGGATCGCTTTCGAATGTGACCATGCGTGGAAAGCAGCCAGCCCCTGCTTGGCGCCACCCCTCAGTAAGTGTCTGTTATTATTACGGGTGAAGAAGTAGAGGCTCGGAGCATTTAAATGGCTTGTCCACAGTCTCAGATAAATGGCAGAGACTTTCCGGCGGGCTCTTCCCAGTATAGTAACCAGTTTCGGTTTTGTGGGTCAGTCTGCCACAGCGATTCAACGATTCAACGTTGCTATTGCAGCCTTAGATGACACACAAACAAACCTGCACAGCTGGATGCCAATAACACTTTGTTTACAAAAACAAGACTCAGCCTGCAGGGCCACGTTCATTGATCCCCTCTCGACATTATAGGTGTGACAGCGGTACCCAGCTCCCAGCGTGGGGAGTTAGGGCGAGCAGAGGTGTTCTTCAGTGGCGCATGCGCTCAAGTGAGCACGGGGGTGGGAGGGGGTGCCCGTCTTCTTACAGTGACTGCTAATGTTATCGCTACGGTGCTGAACGCTCCTGGGAAGCAGCTCTGGGGGAGAAAACCAGCCTTCTCTCTTGTCTGAGCTTGCCTTTAGCGCAGACAACTGGATGTGGGGAAATAAGCACTTGTCTCAGGGTCACAAAAGAGCCTGCAGGGAGGGAAATTAAAGGGTGCTGGGATGTGCAGAGCTGGGTGACGCCACACCAAGCCGGGGCCCTCTGGGGAGGGCTGGAGAGCGAAGGTCTCAGTCAAACATATCAGTCAAGCGAGGAGGGATTAGTGCTCCACCGACTGGGGTGGACTGGCCCGGGCCACCCCTGGGCAGGTGCCCTGTTGGGAGCAGCTGTGACCACAGCCTTTGGCATCAGACAAGCCTGGCTTGAGGCTTGCTTGATTGTTTTCCATCCATGTGACCTTGGGCAAGTTACTAAGCCTTTCTGAGGCTGTTTTCTTACCTATTACATGGAGATTTAAAACAACACCTACTGTACAGTGGTGCTGGGGGAGTCAATGGGAAGACACGTGTAAAAAGGCCAGCATGGCACTTGGCGCAGAGTAAGTGCTCAATTCCTGTTAGCAATGATCATTACGGCATTGTTGACGCTGTCCTCATCATTAGCATCGTAATCTGATATAATCTTTAAGACAGCTAAGATGGTGGTCATCCACTCTCATTACCCTACGTTACAAAAACTCACTGGAATGTTCTTCTCCGTGCTGAGGCTCTTCCTCTGAAATGTGGTGGGATGGGGGTCTCAAGGCCTCCATTCATCCTGAGAACACGGACATGGTACCCACCACCTTCAAGTCAGACATTTGGCAGTTGCTAGGAGTTTAGGGCTGAGAGACCAGCGTTGGCCCTCAGAGCTCACAGTCTCATGATGGAGACAGGCCTAGGGGCAGATCGTCATACTATGAGCCCAGGTGATAGGCCTGAGATCCATACAGGAGGACAAGACACATTCCACTCTGACTGGGGCGCAGCTATGCCAGCCACAGTGTGGCCATCCCAAGGCTGTTCTTGCTGAATCTGCCCTGTCCACAGCCCCAGTGAGGGAATCATGGAGTGTGCCAGGGCTGGGACATCCAGTCCCTGGCAAAGGACACCCCTGACATGGTCTGGGGTGAAGTCTACACTCACAAGGGGTAAAGGTTATCAGTCAAATGCATCGGCTATCCAATTTGGGCTACAGGGCGAACAGGAAAGTCTGGCAGTGAGGCTGCAGAAGAAACTCAGAGCAGAAAGGAGACTGCCTTGGAGCCTCTCCTCCCCTCCCTCACCAGAGCCCATCGGAGTCGAACGCCTCCCTGTTCCAGGTCCAGCCATGCACATCCTGCTTAAGCAAATCTTTGTGTCTTGCATCCAGATAAACCACAGCCCCAGGAAACAGAAAAGGTTTTCCCAAAATGTGAGGCTTCAGCTGTAGGATGACTAAGGTCTCTTTGGTTGAAGAAATCAAAGGGAGAGGCCACACAGGGGGAGGTCAGCGAGAGAGCTGCCAGACTCAGGAATCAGGCCAGAGGCCAGTATAAGCTGGGGGCCAGGCTCTGCTAAGGTTTCCTCTAAGCTTTGCTAGTTCCTTTACGAAACTCAAATTTTGGATTTCCTTCTTCTGGCTATGTGGTTCTTCTCGTATCTGGTTATTTTGGCATCGCACACTCACACCAGTTTGTACAGGAAACCTTCTGGGTTTCAGACCTCAGTTCTTGGGCTCACTCTGGATCCAGCCGCCGGGGCTACTTGGGGCTCATGGGGACCTCGCCTCCTCCCTTTCCTGCGATACTTCTCATGGATGCTTACTCTGGATCAAACAGCCATGCCTGGGTCTGCTCATCCAACGCTGAGTAACCACCAAGCACGCCAGCTGGTTTTCACATGGGAAGCTGCCCCACTGGTCAGGCTGACTTTCCTGTCTCTTTTGATAAGAGGGAAACGAAGAGAAGCAACTGGGGAACATGCTTACGACGAACACACGCCTGGAGCGAGGTGCCCAAGGCTGAGCGCACTCACGGAAAGCAGGTGGTGCGTGTCATGGGGATGTCACAGTAAGGAAATTCTTCAGGGCAGGAAAACCACATTATAGGCAAGCCTCTGAAGACACGAGGCCACCAAACACGGCTGTCAGGACATAATCCAGAAATGGCTGAGGTTCGCTTCTCTTTAGGACCATCAGGTATCTGGAGGGTTTCTTTTGCATACCTGTTCCCAGGGCATCTTCTAAGCCAGCCGGTGCCCACGCCTTTGGAGGGAGTGCTGATCTGAGGGCGAGCACGACGCCTTCGTCTCATGTCGTGTGACCTTAGCATGTTCCCAAGCTTCACGGGCTTTGCTTCCCCTTTAAAAGGCAGTGGACTCCAAACTGCCTTCGATCACTCAGTCCAGGGATCGCCTTCCCCTCCTCCCAGATCGACTAGTTGAATGTGCTCTTTTTCTCCATCTGAACTCCTCAACCTGACTTTTTACAGGCTTCTTATAGAGGGGGCCTTTCCGAGGTCAGGACCTTTCCGGGGTGGGGGAGCCCCGTGAACCCCTGAGTGAGGCGAGTACCCTCTCAGGGTGGCACTGAGCTCACTCATCTCCTTTTCCTCTTAGAACAATGTTTCCCAAACTGACTGGCGGAATGGAGCTCCAACTGATGTTTCTTGAACAAATAAATTGGAGAAATGAAACAGGTCTGTTACTGTATGACTTCTTCATGCCTTGACTGTGTTACTGGGCACTGGGAACCTCCAAGAGGGGTTCTGATACACGGCAGGCTCCAAAGGTATTTAGCCTCGACATCCTCTTTCCCAGAGCATCCAGTGGGGTTGGTGCTCCACAGAACACGGTTTGAGAAAGCACTGCTTGACAAGATGTCATTCATTCCTTCATTCAGCCGACATTCACTACAATCGTGCCAGCGGCTGGATAGTGCAGTGGGCACGTGGGTTTGGGATCATGGTGACCTGTGTGTTACAGCCTCTGCTCCGCCTCTTTCTTGATGTGTGACTTCAGGCAAATGACTTCGTTTCTCTAAGCCTCAGTGTTTTCATTTTTAAAAAGGGGGTGATAATACTACCTAACTCACAGAGTTGTAATAAAAACGATGACATGAACTAACGCATGGAAAGAACTCACGGTGCCTCACACGTAGTACACACCAGTTAACGGTGGTCATTGTTGCCATCATCATCATCATCATCATCATCATCATCACCATCATCATCACTTTCATTAGAGGAGGATGAGGAGGATGCACAAAAAGGCACAGAAATGAGTATAATGCAAGGCGGTATGTAATGATCACACCTCAGGCAGATAAAATGGCATAGGAACAGAGAGCAAAGCACACAGCCTCGGGAAGAGCTTTGTGGGATGAGTAGGAGTTTAGAAGGTGTTGGCAACAAATGTGGCAGAGGAGCAGGAAGAAGAAACACACGAAGGAGGATGATCGCCTAGGTGACGCCATACAGGAAATGACCACGGAATGGGTAAAGTGGGGAGAAGGGATGGGAGAATCAGCTGCAGAGTTCACTGAAGGTCAGAGGCAGGAGGGCCCTGGATGCAGGCTGAAGGGTTTGGACTCTACTGGGAGCGGATTAGAGAACCGAGGAGCAAGGGACGGGTCAGATCCTAGGGAATTTTAGGAAAAGCTGTTCAGAATCTGCTGCCTTTTAAGTACTGGTTTTAAGGAAAATTGTCTGGTGGCAGGATATAGTATAAAGTGAGAGGCAAAAATGCAGGGGGGCGGCGGGGAGCCCAGTCAGAAGTAAAACCAGGGGAGACGGTGCGGCAGGGAGGACCGAGGGGCGAGTTCTGAGGGGGCCATGAAGGCGACCTTGACAGGACTTAAAGACCAGCCGTCCTACGCCGGGATTAAACCACTGAACGCTGGCGGGAGTCTACTGTGGAAGTGGCTGCTTATCCCACCGTCAGAAACTTCTTGAGTGACTGGGCCCAGAAAATGGTCCTCATCCTTCAAGTCCGATAAGATTTTCAGTGAAAATACTTGGCCAATGCCCTTGGCGTTCCACAAGTTGCCCACTCCCTGCACGCTGGGAAAAGCCACCTGTTCCCATGGCAGATCCACAGGTCGCTCCTTAGCGACAGGTCTCTGACTCCATTTGCTGTCACCTTTGAAGCACGGCTGAGCATGATGCATGAGATAATACAGATCTTCCACTTATCCCAGGAGAGAAAGTGCCAGCCAGAGGCGGGTGCAAGATCAGGGCAGGTGGGAGGGGCGGGCCTCTGGACATACCTTGGGGACCTTACACTGTTGAGAAAGGGCCTAAGCTGACACACCGCGAGAAAGTGCATTTTAATCTTGGCCTCGGGCAGGAAAGCGTGACAGAATACTGACCAAATCCGATCTGCCAGCTCATTCCGGGCACATGAATAAATGTCCCCATCCTCCCGTCAAGCCTCTGAATGGAGCCCAGGCGGATGGAACGAGGATATCATTATAAGGAAATGGGCTGAGGATTAGGGATGCTGGCATGAGTTTCCAGCCTCGTTTTTTACCTTTTTGAAATCCCCATTCTTTTGATATTCACACAGCATCATGTCGAAGAAGATTGGTATGGTGGCTTTCCGGAGCTCAGCCTCGGGGATAAGTGTCATCTCTAATATAGGTCCCACCATGCCCGGGATGAAGCAGATTTTGTTCTGGCCTGGAAGAGAAGAGGGGCACGTAAAACGGTTTTCACGATGCACAGGTCCTCCTCAGACCAAGCTTGGGGAACGAAAAATGGGAGGCGGAACAGTAAAAACAATAGTCAACACTTGTAACCGTTGTTTACCAGGAGCCAGGCACCATTTTGAACATTTTACATACATTAACTCCTGCAGGAGATGCATGCATCACACCAAACGAGCTCCGTTATTAAGGATAATAACACCGCTGCGTGTAAAGCGCACTGCTGTTTACAAGAGTTTTCACCTGCACGATCTCCTTGGCAAACGGGGCCCTGATGGAATATGTTAGCGATGGTAAATCACGGGGATATTTGAAATTGTGCCTGTCTGTGACACAAAATGTGTTTCCGAGAGTTGGAAAACACACTTTTACCAACTGTTTGATGAAACACGAAAGCAGAATTTATTGCTAAGAATCCGCTCTAATAGTATGGTCAGTGGTACAGTGGGGGTTAAAACATCGCTTTAGGGTCAGATGAACTGCAGCTTCTCATTGCTTCCGCCTCATTTCAAGGCGTTCCTGCGCCCCCTTCCCCTCGTCGCTGGCATCCTAGCCATGCTGGCCTAGCTCCGGTGTCACAAACTCACCTCCCTTCCTGCACTAGCAGGACACTGCTCCTTCGTTGACATTTTCCCCTACTGCACCCGACCACCTCCATGACCACCTGGCTTCCCCTGGATGGGTCCCACTGGATGGATGTGCTGAGAAAAGCCCACCGCTTGCCCACTCCCCCACCCCAGCTGGGTCAGACACCTGACTATCTTCCCATCCACCTTTGCAATGATGTCTTTGAGGAATCATTCGATAAACATCTGCCTCCCCCACCGAGAACTGCATGAGAGTAGAGACCATGTCTGTTCTCACCGCTGTATCTGTGGCACTGAGCACAGGACATATTAGATACTCAGTGAATGTCTGTGGAATGAGGAAATGATTTTGTCTAGCTCTTACACTCACTTGCTATGTGATCTGAATATATGTCTTATAAAAAGGCAATAGCAGTGCCCACCTGTTGAGAAGACCATGTGAAAATATTCCTGCGTGTACTTAGCACAGAGCCCAGAAGAATCAGTGCCCAGGGGCCCAGGTAGTGTGCCCTACTGGTTAAGAGCACTGATTCTGGAGCTAGAATCAAGAGCCTCCACTATCGGCTAGCTAAATGACAGTGGGCAAGTTAATCTCACCTCCTGGAACCTCGGCGTCCTCATCTGTAACATGGGAGAATAATAATATTTGTTTCATAGGGTCGTTATGAAGAATAAATGACCTATTGTTTACCAAGTGCCTAGAACAGTGCTTGGCACAAAGCATATTTACAATAGTGTTAGCGATTACTGTTGTGATGTTTGGCCCAAATGAGCCACAAAGGGGAGCCTGGCAGAGCAGACTGGCGCAAACTCCTCAGAACACACACATCAGTGTGGCAGAGAAGGGGAAGGAAGGGGGTGCTTAGTGCTGGCAGGATTTCCTGGGGAGCGAGGGCAAGCACATCCAAGGGGCCCTGCCATTGAAGCCGACACCCGGGTGTTTCATCAGCAGCTGCCTCGTTCTCCTCTTGAGTATCAGACCCGAGAACCCCATCCTGGTTTTCTCCATTGTCAGGACGAACTTGGGTGGTCTCTGCCCGGGGCAGAGAGTTTCTAGGGGCACAGACGCTCAGGTGATATGACATATAGCCTGGCGCTACTGCTTTTGATCAAAGCCGAGAAAAGGAGACAAGCGAGAAGGCACATCAGCAGCTGCCTCGTTCTCCTCTTGAGTATCAGACCCGAGAACCCCATCCTGGTTTTCTCCATTGTCAGGACGAACTTGGGTGGTCTCTGCCCGGGGCAGAGAGTTTCTAGGGGCACAGACGCTCAGGTGATATGACATATAGCCTGGCGCTACTGCTTTTGATCAAAGCCGAGAAAAGGAGACAAGCGAGAAGGCAGTAAAAAAAAATAAAAAAAAAAAAAAAAGAATTTTCATCATCCAGCCTAAATGAGGCTTAATGTCGGAGTAGTTCCCCAGAATTCAGATAAAAAAGGCATCATTCTAGGAATATATTCAGTTAGGGAGAATGAAATGGTGAAGTCAGGCAGAGTTAAATGAAAGATAAAGACACTTTTCTAGGATATCGGCTTCATTATATGATGCATTTGGATTACATTTGAGTCTCGAGTCTTCGCTTTGGCCCAAATAAAAAAAAATCTTACTTTCTAGGAGGGTTGTAGTAATTGCTAATCTAGGTTTTTGATTTTGTCCTTCAAGATCCTTTAAACCCACAGCGGAGTTTTAAAATTCAGAGTCGAGGGCAATAATAAGTAGAAGGTAAATGGGAAACTGTCAGATAAGCCACCATGGAATAGAGAAATTGCTTATGCAACAAAGGCCTTTAGAATACTGGAGGGCATTGGGTGTGATAAGGATATATTTAAGATGGTTTAAAATAAAGAGCAGACAAGCCGCAGACCAGGGACTTCTCAGATACTTGTGACCCGTATTCTTTGCAGTCAGTAGAAGAGATGTTTAGAAAAATCAGGAAGGAGGAGAGATGCTGATCTCTAAACACAGTGTGATCTCAACGGCCTTTACAAAGAAATTTCACTCATTTATATCAGAAATGGAATTTCAGCTCATGGGATTTTATGCTCAGGTAATCTGAATATGTATGTGCGTGGTCTTTATATACGTAAATGCGCATGTGTGTGCATACACACACAGAATATATTTGTGGCTAATTGAATGCAAACTCATTTGGAAAAAAGATCCTCATTCAAGAGACACACCTGCTACTGTATTTGAAAAAAGGCAAGGAAGGGAATTGTTGAGAGGATCTTTTTTATATAATGAAAGCTAAATCTCACTGGGAACAGATATCAATTAGGTTTTTCAAGTGCCAGCAAGCCAGCAGGGTAAATCTAAATGCCGAGTCGCACAGGCTTTGGGAAGGGGTGGTGGTAATGAGGCTCAGAGAAGAGTTGAGGCGTGTGGGTGGGAAGGAGTCCCGTGAGCTCTCTGGCCTCGGGTCTCAGCTGTGCAATGGCCTCATCTGTCACCCGTCTCAGGAGGAGACAGTGAGAATGAATGTGAGGGGTCGGGGGGCCCCAAGACAATGACTTGGCAAAATAGAAAGAAAGGTTAGAAGGAAGGGAGGGAAGGAGAAAGGGGATAATTGTGAGCTGAGCTGAGAACGAAGTTGGTCAAGTAGCTCACGTTATGAAATGTGAGACGGGAGGGGCCCTCTGGCTGAGAGGATCGGCTTCAGAGGCCGCCACGTTCCTCGGCTCATGGCCCCTTCTTGCATCTTCAAAGCTAGCAGTGTAGCTTCTTCAAATCTCTCTCTGACTCCCCTGCCTCCTTTTTTCATGTGTAAGGACCCTGTAAGTAACTGCATTGGTTCCGCCTAAAGAACCAACGCAGGATACTCTCACCATCTTCAAGATCCTTAATCATGCCTGAAAAGTCCACTTTGCCATGTGAGGTAAGATATACGCAAGTTCCGGGGATTAGGACCCAGGCGTCTTCGGGGAGTTATTATTCTGCATACCAGGGCTCAGTATTTGTTGCTAGGCGAATGAATAAATAAATGAATGGATAGATAGATGCCTCTCTAATCCCATTTCCTATTTCTTGCCAGCAGCTTCTCCCCAGCCCTAAGAAGGCATGCTTGCTTAGGCTGGTTGCGATCCTGAAACACCTGCTCTTTCTCCATCTTTCTTTCGGTACTGACAATGGCCACAGGAGTCTAATTCAGGAGTCGTTTACCCGGTGGAGCCATCCTCACTTATCTCCTGTTTGCCTGAACTCCTGAGATTCCATAACGTAGTTTATGTTAAAAAAAAAAAAAAGCATAAGCTTGGTTTGCCTTTTAACTCTTATTTTGTTCTACTCTTAGAACTAGATGGTGGCTCTTCCTGGCAGGGCAGGGACTGTGCCTCACACGTCCCCAACTCTCTCACCCTCCCCTGGAGCTTATGGCCGAGCTGGATACTCCTTAGATGCTTAAAAAATAATGACCTAGTCGCTCTCACAGCTTTGCCAGGAGCTACCCCGCTACAAGCGAGGCCATGATGCCAGCCGCTGGAATTTGTCTTTCTTTTCCACAAAGACCGTTAACACAGTAGCCCGATGTTAACCCAAGTGAATGTGGAGTGGTTAAGAGCAAAGTCATTTTGAAAAAATGTGCGTTGATTCACTCCAAGCGGAAACGAATGTTTCTGCTACATTATGATGCTACACTCTCAGAAAAAGTACATTTGGCAACGTCCCAGGATGCAAAAACACAAATGGCATTAACCCTTTAGTGGCAGGGTCCTGGTAACTACCTGTGGTCCTTCTCTCCATCAAAACCTCCCTGCACCTGCCCGCTCACAAAAGCGCACGTGTGTGCGCGCACGCACGCACACGCGCACACACACACACAGACACACACATACACAGGCACATACACAGTCGCACACTTAGTCTAGACTTCTCACTGAAGAATGTGAAATAATCTTCAAGCCTGAGATTATCTCTGCAATTAGCTATCTTATAATCACAGGGTTACTCAAATCTTTCCTGATGAGAAGATGATGATGATACTGATGATCATGGAGATGCCGCCTTGATTGCTTTGGGCATTAAAACAAAATTTACAAACTTAACACACATTATGATTTACTCATTATCAGTAGTCTTTGAAAAACATAGTAAGTTTGCTATTTCACATCCTTTGAAAGTAACTTGCATATTCTGAAAAAAATTAGTCCGAACATTGGGCATGGGGTCAGGAGACAGGCTTTCTCCTCAGCTGAGTCACTGATTTGTTGTTGACCTTGGGAATGTCCTTGCGCCTCTCTGGGCCTCAGTGACCTCTCCTATAAAGTCAGAGGGTTGACGTAGATGGTGTATCACTTAGGGGTGAAATAGAAATCTGATTACTATGGCTAAACTGAGTAAGTTCTGCTTTAGTTTTCTTCTTTAACGAGAACTCAAAAGACGGTCGGTCAGTCCAGAGCTGCTCCTCCTTCCTTACCATGCGGCCGTCGTCATGGCTGTAAGGTGCTACTGCACATTCCACAGTCTTGTTTTCCAGAAAAAAAGAGCGGGGAGGGCTCTGGGCAAAAAACGTGTGTGCTCATTGAATCTGTCCCTTCCCTCTTGATTTAATTGGGGAAAAACTGCGATCCTGAAGACCAACCAGTTTGCTTCTGCTGATGCTCACCAGACAGAGCTGGGTCACGTGACCTAACCTACTACAAATACATTGTTAATTGAGCAAATTGTGATCACAAAAAAAAATCAGGGTTCAGTTATCCAGGAGGAGGGGAAGAAGGGCTTTTGCGTGAGCACTCAGCCATGTCTGCCAGACGGTTTCTGTTTTACTCTGTCTTGGATGTTCTATGAATTACACTCTAAAACCTATCAGTACCCAATTCGGCGTCCTCACTACATGGGTCCCTAGTGTATAAAGTGCTTAGTCCTGGTTTGGATCCTGAGGGTTACCTCATTGGCATGCTTGGAGGAAGCCTGCTAATGCCAGCACCCGGTAGAAGGCAGGGCGGGGTGGGGATGGGGAGTCATGCATTCGCTAGGCTGGCCTCCTCTTCCTGTTCTCTTATTCCCGAGGGAGACAGGCAAGAAGCAGCCATGTAACTAATGAGTAGCAGGAAAACGCTTTCAGACTGATGATATACTTCCTCTTCCTCAGAGTCCAGGCTAAGAAGTGGGGGAGGGGGGGCATGTTTGCAAAAACATCCTTTACTCTGGTTTTCTGCAGTGGACATCTGTGGCTTTGTTTGACCTCTCCATAACTCCATAAATGTTTTATTTTGGGAAACTCTGCCTCCCTCGATGGATGTAGGCTTGGTGGGAGTGGCAATGGAGAGGTCATCCAAGGGAGGCCAATAGAGCTGTGTCCCCTGGAGACCGGCTCTTCAGGAGAGCGATGAAACACCCCGAAAGCAAAGCCGCACCACCTGCCCTGGATGCTGGAGAGGCTCTGGCCCGGTCCTTCACAGCCTGGTTCTCCTTGTCCTTCTCATGAGTGCCTTCTCTGACTAAGGCGGCCACAGTCAGGGTCTTGTTCTTGCAACCCCAAACCCTGAAAAGCATTATCTTTTAATTGCATTAATTCATCCTACAGGTATTTCGCAAACAACAAGGAGTCTGTGATACTTCAGGACGAACACTCAGGCCAGGGTGAATCTGCCTCTAATCCACCGTGGGACCTGGTACATACCTCTTCGCCTCTCTGAGCCTCGGTCTCCTCATTGGTAAAATGGTGGGTTGGACCAGAACTGTACTATTGTCCGAAATGCTTCAGGATTTCTCCTCAGAAAATCCTCAGGGTCCACATGATGAGCTCAAGAGTGACTATTATAATAGGCTCTGGGCCCCGAGTCCACTTCAAACAGATCAGCTCAGCTTTCATCCAACATATGGATTGAGCATGAGATTTTTTTTTTGATTGGTCCTCAGATAAAAATAAATGTTTGAAAAATGCTGGACAGTATGATCTCTAATGGGCCCTTCCAGCTCGGACAGTCTGTGATTCTCAGCAGGTGGAATATTTGGTGGCATCTTTTCATTCATCAGCATAATTGGGAGTGCAGGAAAGCCTGCCAAAACATTATACCTAAATAAAATCTCTGTGTGCAAATCAACGACAGTGAAGGACATTCCACAAAGAGCAGGCTACGTGACAGAACTAGAGAAAACGCACAGATTCCTGCTCTGTAATTCTGGCATTGCCCGGGGCGCATCTGGGAAGGGAAGCCCACCAGGGCTTCCTCTAGCCTTGGCCGTTGTGAAGCGAACAATGCGAACTCGTATGCAAACCAAATCCGGGCCCGAGTTTCACTGGGCATATTCAATCTTTCCTAAAAACTTTAAATCACTTATCAATATTCATAAAGTGGAAAATGCAATGAAAAATTCTGTTTCCTGACTTCTTTTGCAACACTAGATGTGACAACATCGGCCTCATGTTCTGATAGGACGGCGATCAGTGAAGCCAGACAGTGACTGCCCCTTTCAGCTGGCACATCTGCTTCACTTTTTTCCAGGCCCCGCTGCTCCTTCCCGTACACCTGCCCCTGAGGCCAGGTGCTGCGACCAGGTAGGCCTGCGCTTGCATTATACTTTTTTGTTTTTTGCCTATTACAGAGTAATGGTAAATGAAACAAAATATTTCTTATATCCTTGTTTTAATCTAAAGTGGAAAAACAAGGATAGAGACAGGCCTGCTTTTCTAGAAAAAGAGGGTAGAGATGATATTTCTTTATGACAGTGGTTTTCAGATAGGGGTAGTGTTGCACATCCCGCCCGCTCCCATCCTCCCACCCCCCCAGGACGTTTGGCAATGTCTAGAGACTTTTTTGGTTGTTACAACTAGGGAGGATGCTGTTGGGAACCAGTGAGTAGAGGTCAAGGATACTATTACATATCCCACAATGCACAGGGCAGCCTCTACGATAAAGATTTATCCAACCCCAAATGCTGACAGTCCCCACTTTACGGATTTCTGCTGGTTTAAGGTGCCCCAGCCCCTTAGCTCTTTTACATCATCTGCCTGGGCCTGGCCCTTCAGGCCCCGGTGATACAGGCCTGGCATTGATGATTAAGGGGCCAGAACAAGAAAATCATTTTCTGTCCTGATGGGGCAAGGGTGAAAATGACAAAAATTCTGACATGGGTATGGCCTCTGTGACTTCAGTGTCTCTCTCAGTTTTCGCTCTTATGATCCTTATAGGCACCCGAGAGACAGTGCTATTTCCCCTCCCACCCAGTGTCACACGGTCCCCTTGCTTTGGACCTCATAGCTTGTAAACGACAGGGCAAGGCCCAAGGCAGAGACGTGGCAGTCTGTTCTGGGCCTCGTCCCCAGATTCCCCTTTGATTTGGTGAGCCACTTCACAGCCCTCCTGTTCCCAGTGCACGCTCTTAGCCCGAGTCCAGTGCTGCCAGCAAGCACGGACCCAGACTGCTACTCTACACGCTGTGCTTCCCCTGCAAAGATGGCCCTTGCTGGAAAGGGCAAGAAACTGCTATCCGAGAAACAGATGAGGACTGAAGGACACAAAGAGGTCTGGGGAAGCGACAAGCAAGGTCAGGGAGATCATTCGGGTTGAACCCAAGAGATGAGCACAGTCCCTGCAAGTGTCTGGCTGAAGCGGCTCAATGTCAAAGCCCATGGCAGAGCAACTCAGCAGCAGAGAGTCAAGGAGGCTCCAAAAACCAGAAGTAAAAGCACCTCATTACCCATTGCTCCTCACTAATCCGTCCATCCCCTCACCCCTTCAGCACATGTTGAGTCAGGCCTCAGGCAAAGTATGTGGCCCCCATCTTTGTGGAAGCAAAACCAACCTCTGGGATTTGTAGCTGTTTGATCTCAAGCAAGCTACTTCCTACGCTAAGTTTTCTGATCAATAAAAAGAAGGGGAAAATTTCCATCTTGCAGGAGGTAATGTGAAGATTAAAAAAGATCTGCTTAGCACAGGCCTGACTCAGACTGATTCCATCTCCCTTTCTTCCTCCCACGGGTACCACTCAGCTCTTACAGGATTCCTGTAGCTCACCAAGGCAGAGACAGCTGCTGGGGTCACTGTCCGGCTCAAATCAAGTCACAAAAGACCCCTGTCTTTCACAGAACCAATTCTTCCCCATGAGGCTAGATGGTCTTTTATGGATCACAACATCACGTAAGATGCAGGATGCAGAACAGCCCACCGATCACCAGGAGCACACGTGCGATGTGTAAAATCGTGAAGTCTCACAGCTGTCCCGCCCTTCTTCCTTCTTGTAAATTCCAATTTGACATTTTAACCCCCAGGGGCATCAAGCACAAGCCGATTCACAGCTGTCTGGGGGAGGTGGGTGGGGACGGGCACCCTCTCTTATCAGACACTTATTAAGGACCCGAGGTGCATACAGTGATAAACTGTTATTTCAAGCTCCCACTGCTGAAATCCCTGTAGCCCTCTAACAGATGGTCTTCAAGAAGGAGCTTGGCGGGTGCAGATGTGTCTGTCTGGATGCGTGTGCCTACTCACCAAGCTTGTACCACATATCACGGATGGAGAAGCCAATTAGCCGTCTCATGTCCCCATACCTAGGAAGAACAAAAAAACGTCTGCTTCAGGCACCATCTCGGAGATTCTCAGGAAACACCCCCTTCAGGAGATCCAAACATGCAACCTACTTATTCAGGATTTTGTTGTATTTGGCGTGCGAGAACTGCTCCAGCTGCAGAGAATCCTGAGTGATAAAAGCCACCGCCAGATGAAAATAGTTATTCCACAGCTGTAAATGAAAGAGTAGAGAACAGTCATGAAGAGGGTCTGAAGTGGGAAGGCATATTAAATGCTGGGTAACGTGAATAATTTATGACGATGGCAGAAGACAGAGGCAGAACCAGCTTAATTCTGTGCACTGCAATTTTCTAACTGGCACTGACTCTGAAATTAACATCCTGGCCAAAGCGAGGACAATGGATACATTTCTCGAGGCGCTGACCGTGTCCCATCTCTGATGACAGGATTTGGGCATGGAGGAGGATTTTAGGGCTGCTTTTCTTCTTGTTTTGCTGCATTCGTTTTTCCAAAGACAAATAACTCGCCCCAGCTGGGTGCCCCATGAGCTGGCTCCTCCGCTTCAGCTTAGAGGGTGAGGGCTAAGTGAGGGGCGCTCAGCCTCTCTGGGAGTCCTCCTGAATTCCCTCACACCTCCCAATGGCATCCAGCCGCTAAGAGCACAGCATCGGCTTCCCACAGACCCGGGTACAGATACCAGTACTAGCTCTTACTAGCTGGGTTGTCTTTGGCTAGTTCCCTGAACTTTCTTTCTTTCTTTTTTTTTTTTAACCTATGAGAAAAATAACAGTAACTACCATAAAGGATTGTTATAATTGCTGAATGAGATGATATGATCATGAAGGCATCCACTACAGGCTTAGCATGTGCCCAGTGCGCAGTAAACGGAAAGGTGGTGCCGGCGGTGGCACTGGTTGAAGAATATTTGTATGCCTCGTCTTTCCAACTGTCTTTCATTTATTTGGATCCCCAACGCCATCCTCAGCACAATGGCTTGCATAAGAGCTGGGCTCCAGAAAAACACTTATTGATCACCATATCGTTAGAGAAATTCTCCAGTTGTTTCGAGAGGTCTCAGATTTTTTTTTTTATCTCCCTGCACCCAGCCGCCTGGTGGCATGTCTCCTAAGTGCCCAGATCAGCTGGCTCAGAAAAGCCAGAGGGGCTTTTGCAAAACGCATGGCTCCCCTTTCCTGGGGAAGAGGTAAGGTGATTTCTGATTGGGAATTTAATATTTTAAAGTCATAGGACAATAGAAGATTAGAGCTGGAATAAATCGAAGGGTTATCTGATCCAACTTTCTTATTTCACAGATGTAAACAGTGAAATCCAGCCAAAGTCCCATTGCGAGTGGGTGTAACCAGAATTTAGTTATTTTTAATTAAAGCTTAAAAAATTATACCGGTAAAACACACTTGGAAAAAAAAAGTTATTTTCAACCCTACCTTGGATCCTCATCTAATTTCCCAGAAGAAAATCTTAACAATTTCTTGGCTATCTTTCCCCAAATTTTGTATGTATAAACAAACATACGGATAGACATTTTTAACAGTCTGCCATACTTTGCTGCGTTTTCCTCCTGAATCTGTCTTGCGGATGCTCCCGTATCGGCGCACATAGATCTGCTTCCTTCTCCTTCACTGTGTCACGGCATCCTGCTGTAAGGATGTGCTTCCATTCTAACCAGTTCCCTCTTCGTGATATTTAGCCCGACTCCAGCTTCTTTCTTCTTTAGCATCGGTGCCGTAATTGACACCCTTGTTTATACATCTTTATCCATGAGAGACTGTAATGCAGTAAACATTCCTAGGGCTGCAACTGTGAAGACAAAGGGTCTATGCAGATTTTGTTGTTTTTTTATTCTCTTGGTTGATCGTTTTCATAGATACTGTCAGGTCGCCTTCCAGGATTCCAGTCTCATCACCAGCTCCGTTACCATGAGCAAGGCACCCTACCTCTCAGAGTCTCAGTTTCCTTACCTGGAAAATGAGGTAATGGTATCTGAAAGGGGTAGTTATAAGGACCAAATGAGGAAGTCTCTACCTGGTAAACTCCTACTCAGTCTTGTGATCACAGTTCAAAAATCACTTCCTGGGACTCAAGCAGACTCACCTGTTATTCACCCTCATTACACCCTGTTCACAGGATTTATGACACATTTTCAGCAGAACTAACTTATTTTCTGTCCCCTCTACTGGATATAAGCATCATGCAGGCAAGTACCTCATATTTTATTCACTTTCGTATATCCGAAATCTAGCATTGCATCTAATGCAGCCATGCGCTCAGGAAATGTTTGTTGAATGTGTTCATCAATAAGACCCACGCTCTGCGGGCATTGTTGTTAAATCCTTCTGAGAAACTCTGAGATTTGTATTATTATTCTCCCCATTTGAGAGATCAGGAAACTGAGGCCCAGAGGGTTAAATGCCTTGCCCGGGGTCACACAGCTACAGAATGGTGAAAGTGGCATTTAAATCCAAGTTAATCTCACTCCGGCGCTTGCTGTGTTCTTTATCCATTCTGCTTTTCTGCTAAAATTACTTTTCTTCTCCTTTCTCAGTTTCCTTTAGCCTCAGTTGTTGGTTAAGGTTTTCGCTGGTTCACCTGATGTTTTGCAGTTTTTATAACAGAGAGATGAAGGATTATTGATCCTATAAGATGGTTTCTCAATGGTCTTGAATTATTATTTACTCCAAATTCCAACTGAAAAGAAAAACAGTGCCCAGAACATCAGGGTTGCTGAAATGCAACCAGTGTGCCCTCCTCTGAGCTCTAAAGGCACAGGTGCTGTGACCATTCTGGGGATGTTATTGATTCTGGGAGAGGAAAATTCCAGTTACGGATCAGGTTAGGGACATCAGGCCAGAAGTTGTCTGGGGCCCTCAAGCTGAAGCAGAAAGTGCCGAAGAAGCCATTCCCCGTGCCTGTGCCCGTCTTCCTGCCTGGCGGAGCTGTCCCACTGTGAGCCTCCCTCTGGGTGGTGCCATGGGCCTCGTCAACGTTTCCACGGATGCTCCGTCTGTGTGTACACTTCTTCTTGTACTTTTTCTTTTTTTTTTTTAAACCATTACTGATTACATTTCCCATTATAAAGAACAAGCCTGCCTTTTCATTTCACAGGGTCTCTAGTACAGGTTCAAAAATAATCCCAAGGTGGTTCGGTCCCAAGAAACTGATTCAGAAATGCCTCGATGCTAAGGCTGGGATTATCAGACACAGAGCCAGTTAGAGTTTTCCAAGTAGAGAGAATGATCTTAGGAGCAATCAGACAGCTGCCTAAGACAGAAACAATTTTCCTGGAGCCAAAGAGCACATCCAAGGTATAACCATGGATTCTGGGGCCAATCGGAGTTTCCAACATGGAAAGTCTAATCCTCTGGCCAATCATCATAGAGCTCTCCATCCCAGGACCAGCAAGGGCTAACAAGGACAGCGTTTCTAGAGCTAAATAGAGTTGTCTCCGAAATTTGAAAGGCACCCCGTTTCTAAGAGACAGTACAGAAGAGTGGAAGAGCTTGGGCTTGCAGACGGGTCTGAATCCCAGCAGCCCCGCCGAGTAGTTAGATGACTTTAACAAAAAAGTCAACCGCTTTTCTGAAGGCCAGTTTATTTGTAAGTAAAATGGGTATATCCCAAACTCACAGGGTTATGAGAATCACAATGCCCTAAGCAGAAGGCTAATAAAGGCTAATCACCTTCTCCAAAAGCTTGGCTGCTAGAAGATGGATTGACAGCCTACTATTGAGATTCCATATCCTTTGAGGGCAGAGCTGTGTTCTGCTGTGCTTCTGAAATCCTCAAAGCATGTGGCCATAGCCTGGACCCATGAAAACTGCTCTTAAACAAAAATCCTTGCTGGGCTGAACGCTAAATCCTTTCTTGGTCTTCCCTGACCACGCAAATGGATGTGAATGCCAGGGCCCAGCATCCTGAATAGGGCCTGGAAATGCAAATTATTTTAGCCCCAAGCAGAAAACATCATTTTCGTAATTTGTAGGTCTCGTCACCTACAGAGTGGCACCACAGAGCAACTTGCTTTTTGCCCTTTAAGTCATAAAGCCACGGTTCCGGAAAAGGCATCACGGATAATCTCATTGCGCCTGCCCCTCCTCTGGACAGGGGCTGCCAAGGCCGGCTGTGCTTCGTGATGGATGCTGTTCCTGCTGCTTTACTAAATGCACAATTAATGAAACCGTAAGAAGGAAACAAGGCGTGTTCCGGGCAGGGTACAGAGAGCAAATCCGTTCTTGCGTGGGGTAAGGAGAACACGGTGTGGGGCGAACAAAGATAAGGTTGAAAAATGATCCTGGTTCTTGAGTACTTTTCAATAAATATCTAAGAAAGTCTCATTATAAAAAGAGACATTTCATTTTGTAATGTTGGCCACTTCCCTGTTTTACAAAATATTGTGGATGTTATGGCTCTGGTTAGTTGTGGTGACCAGAAAGATGCCTCCCTACTGTCCTGTCTACCGAGAACTGACATGTGAGTTCTCAGACCGGACACATTTAGGACCATCATCATCATCGAAATGATAACAATTAGTATAATTATAATGAGCTAATATTTATTAAACGGCTACTATGTTCCTGGCACTGTTCCAAGAACTTTCTGTGAATTAATTTGTTTAATCCTCTCACCAAACCAACAAGATAGCTACTAGTAGGGTCATAATTTGATGTCAAGGAAACAGGCATACAGAAATCAAGTAATTTGCCTGAAGTCTCACAGCTCATAGCCTCAAACCTTCCATGTATAAAATGCCCAATTTTCTGGGCATCTCTCAGATGCAGATTTTCTTTCAGGAAAACAGAATAAAACCTAAAAGAATGGCCTGAAGGACTGCGGCCAAGCTTCTCTTGGAAGGTCCCCTCCCAGGACCATGGGGCAGAGCCAGAGTCAGGACACCGGGGCGAAGCCGCAGGTGCCGATGCCTGCAGGAGATGAACAAAGCAGCCCGCAGGTTTACGGCCCAAACACCGCCTTGCCGCTGCCCGCTAGGTGAGCTGTTCCAAGCTGTCCCTCCAGAAAAGCAATGGCCTTATTAACTTCCCTGAACATACCATAACTGGAGACCGCAGGCATCTGGGCCACAGTGGATGGAGATCCAACACTTCTCCCAACCCAAACGGCCAAAGTGACATGTTTTGTTCTCATGTCAAAGATTTGTAACTCTCACCCAGACCCCGCCAGGCAGTGAACCCGATGTGGTATGGAACTCTATGTCTAGCATGTGGACGGGGTGATCTGCGGCCTTTGTGACAGCCACTGTTATGCTTTAGTCCCAACTCTGTGCTGACGCACTGTGTGACTTCAGGCTATGTACTCATCGCCTTGGACTCTTAACTCCCACATCCTTCCAGCAGAAACATAACAGTGACAGTAAGTAACGTGTAGGGCAGTTGTAAGGACTGAGGAAGAGAATGCCCACAGGACGCTTTTCATGGGCTGTGCACGTCTAGGCCGTCAGAAAGGCAGCCACTCTCTTATCGTCATTATCATTATAGTTCCATTGCCTGACTTGAATGCAAGGTAGTGGGAGAGAATCCTATTCAAAGACAATGTTTATTAAATATTTATAGGCTGGCGCTCTCCAGCAGGGGCTCTCATAGCTCTTAGCCTACGAGATCACCTTCTCAAGGAGACCTATTGTGTGTCAGACCTACTGTGTGAGACAAAGTCTTTGCACTCATGTAGCGCATGCTCTGCTGGAGGGAAGAGAGGAAATGTGCATGTAGACACATAAGATAACCTTTAGTGCCCTGAAGAGCCTGCAGCAGGCTAAGTGGTGGTACGTAATGACCGTGGGGCTGAGGGCGGGGCCCTCAGACAGGAGTCAGGTGAGGGAGGCCTCTTTGAGGAAGAACAATTTGAAAGGAAACTGGCCGGACCATACGAGTGAGTTCCCATGGCAAGCGCCTTGGCACATCCCAGTTCTGGAAAAACCCGATGAAGTAGAAAGGGGAGATGTTGTGAGCATTTTACAGCTGAACCAACTGAGACACAGACACAGTCCAGGCCTTTCCAGAGGTTGCTCAGCTGGCAGAGGCCAAGGCCCAGGTAGGGACTGGACATCCCAGATGGGCAGGCCGAAAATGCCGTCACCGCAGTTCACTGGCTACCCCCTGTGCTTGCACTACAGAGATCCTGGGGATCAGGGACTTCATAGGGGTATCCCCTTTGGGGGGCCTTCTCTCATATTTCCAGCAGGAGGTAGCAACCTGCACTTTTCCACAGGGTGTCGAAGAATGGGTTCTTCTTGCCTGGGTCTGAAGCAGATACATCACTCTGCTTGTCCCAGGAAAATGCTTTGAGGCCGCCCTCCCCAGCTCACAGGGCCCCATGTCTTGTCTGAGCACAGAAAGTGACTTCTGGAGGAATCAGGAAGTCACAGAGATGTACTTGAGAGCTTTATTTTTCAGTGTCTATGAGCGGCTGCTTCTCTAGGCTCCAGTGAATAGAACAGTAAGAAAATGTAATCCATTTTTAAAAGGTGGCACCCACTCTGACAATGAATGAATGAAGTAAGTCTCCTCTTTAGCACAAGATCCATTATACAGCCACATTTGCATATGCTGCTCATCTGCTCATTAATGACTATTCAATCAAGGGCCCGGTTCCAAACCCTGAGTAATTCCCTCCCTGCCCACATCCCCCAGAGGAAGCCTCCAGAGACACTGGCAGACCTGTGTGTGCTCTGAGGAACGATCAGCCCAAGATGCCGGAGCAGCCTTGCCGGGGCACCCGAGCCACCTCGGGTGCTTTCTACTCACCTGGAACTCAAAGTTTGTGTGTTCCAGGAACTTCTGATTCATGATTTCTGCAAACTTGTTGATAGCTCTCAGGAAGACCCTGCAAGAGGACAGAAGTTCACCATGCCATCTGAGCATGCTCCCTCAGGGACCCCTCCCCTCCCCCATGCTCCAGACCAAAGATCCCTCAGTGAGGGTCCCAAAAACCCAAGGGAGAGGTCATCTGACCCACCTTAACACCTGCTCACACCGTAGACCTGGGAGCACGTTTGCCTTGCAAGAACACGAGGACCATCTGTTTAACTTCCTTTAGAAAATTTGTATTGTCTTTTGTTTAAACCATTACATGCTTATGGCAGAAAACTCATGCCATCCACAAAGATAGGAAGAGAAACTGCCCCCTCCTTAAGCAAATGAACAAAAACCACACCACCAAATCCTACCATCCGGGGACAACCATCATCGACATTTTGAAGAACATAATTTCAAAGTTCTCCCTAGATGTATATGTACGAACAATATTTTACAGGTACCATTTTGATAAATGGGGTGAATGATAAATTCTGTTTCATAGCCTGTCTTTTTTACTCAACAATATACTGTGTGTGCCTTTCATGCCAATGAACTCAGATGTACATCATCCCTTCTAATCACTGAAAAGCATTCCAATGTATGGATGCATCACAGTTTATTTAATGAGTCTTTTATTGATAAACCTTTATGTTGTTTCACAGTTTTTATTTGTTACGAGCAGTGTTTCAGTGATTACTCTGTACACTTTGCACCTCATATATATAATACATCTTCCCCAGTCTTCTCTTCAAAGTGGTAATACTGATCAAATGTTATGCACGTTTAACATTTTGGTACTTGTTATCAATTGTGTTTCTTCTTAAAAGTCTTCCCATCCATCTCTTCCTCTCGCTCCTCCTGCCAAGCCCTACAGACTGGTCTTGCAGCCTCCTCTGTCTTGTCCCCTCCATCTCAAGAGCACCTGACCCTACAGGACAGCTCCAGTCATGTCAATCACCCAGGTCAATGCCCTCCATGATTGGACCCCGATCTTTCCCAGACTCATTTCTCACTATCACCCTGTGCTTCTGGTTGTTTTCTGAGTATATAGCTTTGTTCTTTCTTTGTATAGAATACCCCTCTCCTTCTAATCTCTCTAGGGCAAGGTCTGCTGAATTTTTGTGTCCCCCAAATGATACATTGCAACTCTTCATTCATCACGGTCTAGGATGATTTGTCTGGCCCAGTAATGTGTCTCCTCCACTAGACTATACTTACCTTGAAATCAGAGATTCCCTCCATGATCTCATCTACTCTCCAGTCCACATGCCTTTGACTCCCAGGTTTATATATCTTCCTTCCTGGCCGCTCCCTGAGCTCCAGCTTGCATTCCAGCTCTCTGCTAACAGGCATCTCACACATACTCGTCAAAAACTCACCTGCCATTACCTGCCCTCTTTCTGTGGTCTTCCCATATAATTAAAGACAACTCCATTCTTCCAGTTGCCCAAGCGGGGAAAAACCTCGGTAGCATCCTTGACTTTTCTCTTTTTCTCACATCCTACCCTGAGCCAATCAGTAAAACCTCTTAACAATACTTTCAAATCATCCAGAATTTGCTACTGTCACTGATCTGAACCGAGTCACTATCATTTCTCTCCTGGATGCCTATAGTCACCTTCCAACTGCTACATGCCCAACTGTGGCCAAGTCTCCATTGTGTGTGTGTGTGTGTGTGTGTGCGCGCGCGTGCGCATACGTTTGTAAAATCTTAGAGGGAGATAAGTGTGTGTGCACGTGTGTGTGTGTGTGTGTGCGCGTGCACATACGTTTGTAAAATCTTAGAGGGAGATGATCGATCTTACCTGTACCATTGTCTCTAATTTTTTATTAACAATGGACAATCAATAATTTCTCTATTGAGCAGCTGATCCAGGAAGAATACCTATTTAGCCTACCCGAGACTCAATGGGAAGCCAGGAAAGAAAGTGTTTATTTGAAGATGATTGCTTTGGGTAATAACTGGGACTCAATTCTGCTGAGGAACCTCTGAGAGACTATAGAACAGAGGTCCCCAAGCTTTTTGGCACCAGGGACCCATGCTTCTGAGAATCTAATGCCTGAGGATCTGGGGTGGAGCTGAGGCTGTGATGCCAGCACTGGGGAGTGGCTGCAAATACAGATAAAGCTTTGCTCACTCACCTCCTGATGTGTGGCCCACTTCCTAACAGGCCATGGACCAGTACCAGTCTGTGGTCCAGGGTTTGGGGACCCCTGGTACATGACACACCTGCACATCAGAGGTGCCCCCTCCCAGATGGTGAGGAAGCTGAGCTCTTTATCCATTAATGCCAGCCCCTCACAGGCTGAAAGTTGCTCTTACATGGACATTAAGCCCCTAGAAATTTTGGCCTGCGCTGCAGGGGAGTTGAGTGCCATCCTGCAGCCAGAGAAAGCCCAGAGAATGAAATAAGGAGAAAGCCCTCAGGATGCATGGGAAATGCCCACCAAAGCTGCAAGTATTTTTCAGATGGGCCAGGAGTTTGGGCAGGGCACCTACAGCATCTGCTGTATCAGACATTGCTTGTGAGGAACTCAGGGCTAGGTGTTCATTAAACACTTAAATGTTTGTTGAACAAAGAAGGCAATGCATCTGGTATTGAGATCACGAGATTTGTACACACACGCACACACACACACGCGCGCGCTGCTCAACTAGAAGTGATTCTGGCCTTGCCACTTCCCCTCTGCGTGGGTTTGGGGCATGTTAATATCACCTTTCATGCCTCAGTTTCCTTGCTTGTGAAACGGCAGCAACGCAACCCCTTTTATAGAGTTGCTACTGGGTTTAATGACAGATGCAGGGTAAGTGCTGAGCACGGTGCCTGATACATGGTGACGACAGTAACGTGGCAGCTGTGGCCACTTCGGACCCCTCTGGGTCACCTCGTTCTTCTTCCACAGGCAGGGACTGATGGCAAAATGAGCGGTCAGAGGACAGGGAGCAACCTGAGGCAGGCAGGACCATGTGAAAATAGGAAGTAAAAGTCCCACAAAATCCGGTACCCTATGTCTGCCAAAAAGTGAGATTTCTTTACTTTTGCTCTTCTGCCATTTGCTAATATGCTTTTGAAGAAACGTTTACACATTTCCCTTAAAGATGAGTATCTGATGCCCAGACAGACATGCAGTGAGTGGCTGTCATGTTATGTACAAACATTTTGGATTCTAATGCGATGCCAACATGAGGGGTTTGCATGTCCTCAGCAGCAACAAAGCTATCAGTAGTTTCAGAAACAGTCATTATTTTGATTGTTGGCCCAAACCTGTCTCCAGCTCTCAAAGGCCAGTGCATTAACCAGAAGCTGATCGGCTGCCTATGCTGATGGGGGAGATTGGTGGGGCAGATGGGGTGAGGGACAGTGAATCAAGTTTCCTCTCTCTCTCTGGATTCTTCCGCAGCCGCCCTCTGGGAATCAGAACATCGCTTAACTTTGGTTTCCCAGGTTTGGTTTTGGAAAAGTAGGTCTTTTGTCTTCTCTTTTTCCTCCTTTTTCTAAAAAAAAAGTAACTGTACTTAAGGCCTAAGCACTAACATGGTGAGGTGGGTTAGAATGAAAATCCTTTCAACTCTTTCTGTTACTTTCAGCAATGAACTTGAATTGTTGAAAACAAAGTTCATGATCAGATCTCATCTGACATTTCCTGCATCTCATCTAGGAAGTGTAGCAGGCTCTTTGAGGGTTGATAACGATCACAGTCACAGTGACTGAGGACAAGGACGTGCCAGGCTCTGTGCTCAGTACTTTGCTTGAATTCTTTCTTTTTTTCTTTTTTAATTCTCATACTAGCTTCCTGAGTTAGATATTGTTTCCATTTTAGAGATGTGAATTTAGGTAATTTCCCCCAAAACCCAGCCAGTACATGCAGAACCATGATTTAAATAAAGACATCCTCAGTATTTAAGCACCATGCTAGTCTGTCCACAAGGAAATCTCTGTAATCCTGTTCAACGCAAGTTGTAAGCTCACTTTATTAACAGCGACAACGGAAGTATCATAGTTATCATTCATAGACCCTGTGCTAAGTGCTCTGTAGACATTATTTCATTTAATTCTACAAACTGAGGCCGGTGCTATTGTTACATCCACAGAAGAGGAAACTGAGCACTGGAAATATCGAATAATGTCTCCACATTCATACAGCTAAAAAGCAGCAGGGTCCAGATCCAATCTCAGGTCTGCCTTTTTCTAAAGCCTTTGCAACTAACCAGAAAGGTATACTGGCTCCCCGAGGCCAGCGTGCATGGTCTTGGGCACTGGGCATGCTCGTGCTCACGCCCACCATGCACGGAGCCCCTTCACACTCTGTCCCCATCAGCCTGCTGCTGCCCACAGCTGAATGGGCGCAGGGCGGACGCTTGACCCAGGAAGTCTTCCACGGAGCGCCAGCAGCCTGCGTGTGATCTTCTGGTTTCACCCAGCCTGGAGGGGGGTAGATCAAATCCCTTTAGGTGGTCCAAAAGCAGGACTACCAGGGAGAATGCAGTGAACCTGGGCCCTGAGCGGAAGCCACGAGCAGATGATTCTGTGAGAAAGCAGAAGCCATGTGCAGGAGAAGTCAGCTGCTGTGAGTAGGAGGAAGCTGGCAGGAAGAGAAGCCAACCCCGAGGCCGGTATCCCGAAAACCGCTGCCCACGAAGCCCCACTGCAGCCGCTGGACTGGCTCCCCAGGTTCCTACTTCCCGTGCGGCAGACAAACCCTCGTTACTGGAGTTGGTCAAGAGTGTTCTGTCTCCAGGGTAAGCCTCAACACATCACACGCACTAGTCCTTGGGCTGGATGCAGGAGTGGAAGGTGCCCCAGACTCCAGCAGGTGCTGGAGCAAGCCTATCATGGGTCACATTCCCACCCTGCCAGTCTTCTGTGCTGTGGCCTGGAGCCGGCTGACTGATCTCAACTGCCCCACAGGGAGGATGAGCCAGAGGTGAAGATGAAATGAGATGCAGTGTATGAAGCCGGTGGCTCAAGCCTCAGCATCTACAAGTCCTCAATAACGTCAGGGGTTCCTGTCCTTAACTGCCTGGCC